ATGACCTCTCAAGCAACATGGAGGCCATTGCAAAAGCAAAGGTACAAAAATGGTCAAAATTTCAATGTCTCAAAAATGTCATATAAACATAATTTTTGAGAACGTAGGATGAAGTGCATTTATTTTATTTTTAGCAAAATGTCATTTATTTATTAGGGAAACTTAGAGAAGATGTGCAGGACATTGGAGGATCAGCTGAGTGAGCTCAAAGCCAAGAATGATGAGAATGTTCGTCAGCTGAATGATATCAGTGCACAAAAGGCCCGACTTCAAACTGAAAATGGTAACTTTCTAGTTTTAAATTTTATTTTTATTTTTAGCAAAATATACCAAATATGCATCAGTCATAAATGTGCCTACATGTTGTATGCTACAACTAGCAGATGTCCATCCATTATCTTTACCCGTGTCTTCCTTTTTGGGTCATGGGGTCACTGATGCCCATGTTTAGCAATCACTGTGCGAGAGGCAGGGGACACACTGGACAGGTCTCCAGTCCATCACAGGGACACACAAGACAAACAGCAATTCACACTCTTACTCACACCTAGGGACAATAGCTGATTAAAAGTTCCAGATAATTTTTTTTATATAGTTCAAATAGTTACGACGTAAGTTTACAAGCATGCTAAGCTTTTTTGTTGCAATAGTGAAAAGCCTATCGGGGCTTTGCAGCATGCAACAAGATCAACTGCATTCTGAAGAACACGTCTCAGTCCTGATGATATCTGGTTACATTGTAGGGACTGTGTATAAATTAAATGCATTCATGTTCTGCTCGTATCTCGTTTTAAATATTATCCTTACACAGGTGAAACTTCTCGGCAGCTGGAGGAGAAAGAAGCGCTTGTGTCTCAGCTCACCAGAGGCAAGCAGGCTTACACTCAGCAGATTGAAGAGCTGAAGAGGCACATTGAGGAGGAAGTGAAGGTAACAGTCTATAGATGCAACTTGGACAACAGCAAAGTCAAATACCATGAGATGGTTAGAAGTGTCTATCTTGTTCCTGTTTGGATGGTAGGCCAAGAACGCCCTGGCTCATGCTGTCCAGTCGGCTCGTCACGACTGTGATCTGCTCAGAGAGCAGTATGAGGAGGAGCAGGAGGCCAAAGCGGAGCTGCAGCGTTCAATGTCCAAGGCTAACAGCGAGGTGGCTCAGTGGAGAACCAAATATGAGACTGACGCCATTCAGCGCACTGAGGAGCTGGAGGAGGCTAAGTAAGTTCTTTTTTTTCCCGTTTGTAATGGCTTTAAATTGCAAAGTACATGACTTGAAGTCTGAAAATCAATTATCCTGCACAGGAAAAAGCTGGCCCAGCGTCTTCAGGATGCCGAGGAATCCATCGAGGCTGTGAATGCCAAATGTGCCTCTCTGGAAAAGACTAAACAGAGGCTGCAGAGTGAAGTGGAGGACCTGATGATCGATGTGGAGAGAGCTAATGCTCTGGCTGCAACCCTGGACAAGAAGCAGAGGAACTTTGACAAGGTACAGCATTCTTTGATTCATCACCAACAGATAATGTGACGTGACGTTAAAAAACATGACAAACTGAAGCTCGTTGAACACTCAGGTTCTTGCCGAGTGGAAGCAGAAGTATGAGGAGAGCCAAGCGGAGCTGGAAGGAGCTCAGAAGGAGGCTCGTTCACTGAGCACTGAGCTTTTCAAAATGAAGAACTCTTATGAAGAAGCTCTGGACCACCTGGAGACCTTAAAGAGGGAGAACAAGAACCTGCAACGTAGGATAAATTTTACTTTTTAAACCACTGTCCTAAACACAATTGGATTGTTAAATATCAGCATTCTTATATTTGTGCCTTAACATCTCGCTTGAACAGAGGAGATCTCAGACTTGACTGAACAGCTTGGTGAGACGGGTAAAACAATCCATGAGCTTGAAAAAGGAAAGAAGACTGTGGAAACTGAGAAGTCAGAAATCCAGACTGCTCTGGAGGAGGCAGAGGTAAAATTGCTGCTCTTTAGATTAAACTGAAATCCTAAAACATCTATAAAATGTAAACCTGTGATTAAAAAAAAACCCCATAAAACACAATTTAAAGATAAAAGCAAACGTTTAGAGCATAACTTATACTGTTTCCAAAAATGACCCAAATTCCCCATGTTCACAGGCAACCCTGGAGCACGAAGAGTCCAAGATTCTCCGTGTTCAGCTGGAGCTCACCCAAGTCAAGAGCGAAATCGACAGAAAGCTGGCAGAAAAGGATGAGGAGATCGAACAGATCAAGAGGAACAGCCAGCGGGTGATTGAGACCATGCAGAGCACTCTGGACGCCGAGGTCAGGAGCAGGAACGATGCCCTGAGAATCAAGAAGAAGATGGAGGGAGACCTGAATGAGATGGAGATCCAGTTGAGCCACGCAAACCGCCAGGCAGCTGAAGCTCAGAAACAGCTGAGATACGTGCAGGGACAGCTTAAGGTACGACTAAAGATGGGTTTCTTAAACAACTTTCACATTCTGAAAGAATCTGAAGCACTTGTTTTTATTTATTCATTTATTTTTATCCAGGATGCTCAACTCCATCTTGATGAAGCGCTGAGAGGCCAGGATGACATGAAGGAGCAGGTGGCGATGGTGGAGCGCAGGAACACCCTGATGGTGGCTGAGATTGAGGAGCTGAGAGCTGCTCTCGAGCAAACAGAGAGAAGCCGCAAAATGGCTGAACAGGAACTGGTTGATGCCAGCGAGCGTGTTACACTGCTGCATTCTCAGGTACCTAACCAAAAGTCTGACCAGTCTGCGTACCTCTATTTGGTTTTGCACGTGGGACTGCATTGTCATTTCTTTTATTCTAGAATACCAGCCTGATCAACACCAAGAAGAAGCTGGAGGCTGATCTGGTTCAGATCCAAGGGGAGGTGGAAGATGCTGTTCAGGAAGCGAGAAACGCTGAAGATAAAGCCAAGAAGGCCATCACTGACGTAAGTCCTCCTGAGCTTTATCCCAGCAGAAGTTGTCCCTCCTTCAATGTCTAATCAAAACAAAACAATGACTGGAAATGTTCAGGCTGCCATGATGGCCGAAGAGCTGAAGAAGGAGCAGGACACCAGCGCTCATTTGGAGAGGATGAAGAAGAACCTGGAGGTGACGGTGAAGGACCTGCAGCACCGTCTGGATGAAGCTGAAAATCTGGCCATGAAGGGAGGCAAGAAGCAGCTCCAGAAACTGGAGGCTCGGGTATGCTTGTAACCAACTTGAAAGAGAAACTTCCCCCACTGAGTGGTTCTGAGCTCCAGAGTAAAAGCTGTTTCTGTATCAGGTGCGTGAGCTGGAGGCTGAAGTCGAAACCGAGCAGCGACGAGGAGCAGAGGCCATCAAAGGTGTTCGCAAGTATGAGAGAAGAGTCAAGGAGCTCACCTATCAGGTTGGAAGCTTTCTTTTTTCAGACGATCACTACCAAAGCAAAACAAAACTGCTTATTGATACATTTATTATTTATCATTGTAAACTGTAGACTGAGGAAGACAAGAAGAACATCGTCCGACTGCAGGATCTGGTGGACAAACTGCAGCTGAAAGTGAAGGCTTATAAGAGACAGGCTGAGGAGGCTGTAAGTCTTTTTAAGACTTTCATGGCTGCATGCAGAACTCAAAGTTATTTTTTTTAATGATCTACTAGAATATCTGTGCCCCATGGTTTAATAATTCTGTTGTTGATTTTCCTGGCAGGAAGAGCAGGCCAACACTCACATGTCCAGGCTGAGGAAGGTGCAGCACGAGATGGAGGAAGCTCAGGAGCGTGCCGACATCGCCGAGTCTCAGGTCAACAAGCTGAGGGCCAAGAGTCGGGAAATCGGAAAAGTAAGTAAAGTTGTGGCGGTTTTCAACAGAGCGCGTTTCATCTCTGGCGCTACCGCTAATGTTCGTATCTGAATCCACATGTAAATTTGAATTATACACAGTCCACTTACAACGTTAATTATTTATTTTTATCTGTTTCAGGCAAAGGAGTCTGAAGAATAAGCTAAAAACCTTTGTGGGAGGCCAAGTGAGAATCATAAAATATGATTTTTCTTTGAAATGCTCTCAATAAATGTAGAACTATATTCAATAAAATATTCAACGACCCTGCCGTCTTTACACTTCTTTTCTTTCTTGTTGCCAAAGGTAGAATAATAATCTAAAATACACACTTTTAACTATACATACACAGTAAGTGCAGGTCATGTTTGTGCCACATTGTCTGTTGTTTTTGCTACATTTAAAATCACCAGAGACGATTTGACTTAAATAATAAAGGAATGAGAGAAATAAAGTCACTTTGTAAAACCCAGAGTGGGGTTGTGGCTCAGAGCTGTTACCTTCAATTAGAAGGTTGCCAGATTGAATCCTGGCCGGGGACCTTTCTGGGTGGAGTTTGCATGTTCTCTCTGTGCATGCATGTGCTTTCTCTGGGTACTCCGGTTTCTTCCAACAGACAAAAAACATGCATGTTGATGCTGATTGGGAACTCCATTGACCCTAGGTGTTTGTGTGAATAATTGTTTCATTTGTCTCTACGTGGCCCTGTGATGGACTAGCAACCTGTCCAGGGTTTCCCCTTTCTTCTCACACAATGACTGCTGGTGCTGGATATGAGCAACAGTGACCCCTGTGACCCGTAAAGGAAGAATGGATGGATGTTAAGCACAGTTACATAATGCGTAACAAAGCAATAGTTACTATGACCTGAACACAGATACAAACTGAGCTAAAAGGCCCACATTAATTCAGTCAACCATAGAAATGTAAGAAAACATATAAAATGTTGGTACCCAGCGCTGTTTGCAGTTATCCTTGCATTATGGCTACTTTTCTACAAAACAAACGAGACAAGCAGCAAACCGGACATCTCACACCATCTGCATCTGGTCTTCTGAACTTTTTTTTTTTTTTTTTTTAATAAACAAACATTACCAAGTACGATTTGATACTGTATATTTTCTTTCTCAACACAACAGCCCAAACTTTGCTCTGACCTTTTATTTTTGCAGAAAACTTTGGTAATCGCTAGCCTATACTTCCTGTGTTTTCATATTAATATCACAATGCCCAAGGTTTTAACTTGATTTGACTTGTCAGAAGTTTTCTATTCATTTTTAGGTGATGTAAAAAGTTAAGCCTGTTCAAACTAACACTTCTTCTGATTTTTTTTTCATATCCTATTTAATTTTCAGAAAGGATACTAATACATATGCTAAACAAACAGTTAAAAGTAAATCATATCTGATGCTGAAACAGCTATCATAACTCCTCTGTGATGATCTGAAATAGAAGCCAGTTTTCGCTCGTGGGCAGACCTCAGTCCATAGCTCTCCTAAAAGCTTCATCTGTTCGGTTTCTCTTCTGAAGGGATCAGGCTGGATAAATCTAACACGCTTTATTTACATGGCAAGAGGATTCAAACTGCTTTGTCAAATGCTGATGGACAGATATTATTCAAGTCAATTCAAAAATACTTTATTAACCCCAAAGGGAAATTAATTGTTGTTGTAACATCCTAGTTTCATTAGAGCTGTTCTAGATGCTGATGTCTGTGGGCAGGCAGGATCTCTTGTAGTAGTCCGTCCCACAGCAGATCTGAAGAAACTGGTTGCAGATGCCAATCCATCCATCCAGACCCAGCACATTTCTTGGCCCTCTTGGGCAGCTGGACTCCCTGAATGGCGGGCTGAACTCCTCCCCAAGCGATGGCCACTTCTCCCAGCAACCCGCCGAGCTCCTCATCGCTGCGGACTTAACTGCATGTGCCAGGGGATGATCTCGGTCCTCCCGCTGTCACAAGTCGCGTTTCCCGCTACCTCCAAGAGCTCGGCAGTCAGGCACTCGAATCCAGGTAGACGGTAATGCATCCACAGCACCTCCTTTTCAACTCAAAATGTTCATCAGCAGCTCCCAGTTGTAGAAAACTACCATGTTGTCATGGTTACGCATCATAACAAATGTCCTAAAGTAAAAAAGGTTTAAGTAAAAATCCTTCCAGTGGCACAACATCTTATACCAGAGGAAGTAATCGTCCCAAAAAAAAGTGATTTACTTCCAGATAAAAGAGTAATTAAAGTTTTCAAAAGCAAAATCTCAGAATGACTAAGAGAGCTACTCCAACATGCAACCACCTTGAGCAGCACAGTTTTGGGATTATAGTTATTATAATTAAGTGGGACAGTGTTTGTCTCTTTAAACCATGCTATGAGGTGCACAACGCCTGCTGGAGGAAAGGTTTGACTCATTCTAACTAAACTCCAGAGAACAGATGGCAGCCAAGGCTTGGTTCGTGGAGTCAAACATCCTGTCCACCCCTGAAGTTTTATCATCAAAGAGCTATCATCGTTCCTTTGAGGATCTTGGCCTCCTTACAGTTTGATATCTCTACTGAATGACAGAGGGAGCAGATGCCCAGGATGGGTCAATACACTGACTCACCCTTTGGTTCCTTTTCAGGTCCTCGCCCAGTGTGCTGAACATAGATAGCTTAATCCACAACAGCTGACTGACTCTGGAGCTGCTCTCTGGAATGCACCGACGTGAAAAAGCTTCACTGCATTATAAACTTAGTTCCGGTAAACTCCCAAAGCTTCAAAACTACATGAATAACTGCAACTATTTTTAGACATTTGAAGCAATCCTATAGGAGAAACTAAACTATAGTAGCATCCCTTGAAGGAATGCATATCACTCGCTGCTTTGCATAGTTTTCATAACTGAACTAAAATTAAGAACAAAAATTTTAGGAAACAACCACCATTCAAAGCTGAAGTGAAAAATATCAATAGCCTTTAATCACCAAAGATATAAACATTTAAATATCCATTTCATATAGAGAATGACAAAATCTTTACAAATTTAGCCTTCGTCTTCTGCTTCGCATCGTCTGTACAAAATTAAGTGGCGCTGGAGAGTGGCACAGAGAGAGCAAACGTTCCGGAGTAAACAACGTTATCAGCGAAATGAAAAGCAAACTTACAGCAAAAAACATCCAGAGACAAACAGGATATACTGATCACTTTTGAACGTTTGATGCTATTTTACTTGTAAACTGCTTCGTACGTCCTCACAAGCATCCAGTACATTCAGCTCCTGTATGATAACACAAATATCAACCACAATATTTAAATAAGTATAACAAACATATAAAACGATGCATGAATTAAAAACGAAAGCATTACATTTCTCATAAAATGACAAAATAAATTAAAATGTCCCAACGTTTGCCACTGACTTGTTTATCAGTTAAACAATCTTTAAATGGATAAATAATTTTCAGTTTTTACATGAATCTGAAATCCTTTTTCCTAAATAAATGATAAAGATTTATTCAGGCAGTATTTTGCTTGTAACTCTAGACTTGTCTGTGCTTTCACTTGCTGCATAAAGACCTAAACTCAAACGGACGGTTCCCGTGGGCTTCACTGAAGTCAAACTTTCAGCTTCATCTGCAGCCTCCTCTTCACGTGCAGTATTCCTGAACGCAGAGCCAGATGCGGACAGAAATGTAAACTATTCATTAGGATATGTACACATCTGTTCAAAATATCATGCAAATAAATATCAGTCGTTTGAAACAAAAACAAAACTACACTGACCTCAGCAGTGGAAAAATGTTAAACTGCAGCCTAGAGTTCCTCAATGTCTCATTCTCAAGAATTGAACATTGTTGTTTCATTGATGCAAAGAAAAGAACATCCTGCAGGTCGTGTCTGTGTTAAAGTCTTTGTTCTCCACGTCCCCGTCATGCTCGGGTACGCAGGAGAAGCACAACAGCAGGTGAACTGTAAACCAACATTCATTCAGTCCTAACTGAGCAGCTCAGTAGAAATGCGTCGTGTGATTCAAACCTGAGCCACAGAGCAGAAATAAAATCAGAACGGCAGCGAGGCTGGATTTTGTCCGTCAGAAGGCAGGAAGAAAACGCCTGCTGCTAAACGCACATCTGCCGTGCCGCTTAAAAAAAAAAAAACGTTCAAGATGATCATCCTTTTTTTTATTCCCCGAGCGAGGAGTCCTTTTAGAGCTCTGTGCGTGTCTTTGCCACAACCTGCAGGATAAGTGTCCTCGGGTCTAAGATCCAAAATGCTCCTGTAATCCAAAACGATGAGTGCAGCAAGGCACTGCAGGGTGGAACACCAGGCAGACAGAACATGAATACATAAAAACAAAAACAGTTTACAAATATGTTGCCCAAAAAGTACTGTTTTATACTTTTTTTTTTTTTAAATATCCCTCCCTAATAAATTGCCGGATTAATAACAAAAAAATACAAGAAGGAATGATTCACCGTGAAAGGTCGTACGTGCACTCCAGCTTCCTGTTTGCAACGTTATCACACTGCTGTCTGTATTTGAGGGGCTGATCTCCTTATTGGACAATGATTTTCTTACATTCATCTGCTGAACAGTGAAAGCATCTCTGAGCTCAGATTACATCCAGATGCACCGGGTCGCAGGGTTAAACATTAGTTCTAGGCCCATCGGACCCCCCCTCCCCAGTCATTATCTTCATTAAATCAAGTTTATAAAGTGAAACAGCTAAGGAGCTGCACATGATGAAGCAGAAACTCTGTCGCAGTGAATCATCACCTACAAGCAGTACAAATAAAAACGTACAGCGTATTGACAGCATATTCAGAACGTCAAAAGCTGTCTAAAAGCTACATTCCCCCATACAGAAGCATACACAAGTGCATAAATCCCAGTTTGACAACTTATTGGCAATGCAGTTTACAAAAATATGATGAAGAGCTTCACATCAAGCAAACAACTGATGTTTTCTGTGCTTTCAGGCTCCATCAGTAACAAGGAATGCAAGTTACTCTTCGTTTATATCAAGAGATGTGCTAAATGCTCAAACAAAGTATTCAATTATCATATTGTTATTGCAAATAATGTATTATTTTGCTGCTGAATGCTCATAAGGATGCATAACTAAGTTGCAAAATTAGTTATTTGTCTTTGATTTGAGCTCCTTTGACAACATCTAACTGGACTGGAAGCACTTTAAAAATCACATCAAGCAGCGGTGGAAGCATTTCAACAAAGCCAAATGTTAATAACCTCGTACCACAATAAGCACATAAAGTAGCTGTTTGTTCAGTGATATGTGTCGTAAAAAGTCACTTTACTTCATTATACTGTAGTGGCTTTTCTCTCTCCTGGTCTCATGTTAAAATGTCCACAGAAAAATAGTTGTAGGGATAAAAATGAACTTGTTCTTTTCATATAAAATCGTGTGGGATTTAAAGACATACAAGACAAACACATGCTTTAGAGAGAGGAGGAGAAGTCGGTCATGTCTGACACAGAAAACACTGGAACTGTCTTGGCAAAGGTCAGAAGTGGATTGAAAGACACTGGAGTGAATGTGAGGTTATGGCTCGGATCGACCATCGTGTAGGAACAGCTGACAAAGCTGGGGCTTCCTGTATTCTACATCAGAAGGACTAAATGTGAAAAAAAAATAAACAGGCACAATATGACGTTTAAATAGGTTCAGAAAAAATGCAGGGGAAAAATAAATGCATACATTTGCAGATACAATACCGTTTTTTTGGACTATAAGGCACTTCAAATCCTTTAATTTTCTCAAAAATCAACAGTGTATTCATTCTGGTTGTGCTTACTGACCTTGAAACAATTGTATGTGGTGCACGGCACTCAAAAATCTGTCAAAATGAACTTGTTTCGCTTAATGCGCCTTATAGTCCGGTGCATCTTTTGTATGAAAACAGACCTGTTCGTTGATATTGCGCCTTATAGTCTGAAAAATACCGTACGTAAAATAATACTTACAAATGGAAACCTAATACTGAGAGTACTTTCTGCTCCAGTATGAACCTCTGCACTGCTCTGTGATGATGGCATGCTTGATGCGTCCTGCATGCTGCTCAAAAGCGTGCACGTAAATCTTTCTGTCTGTTTTCGACTGAACACACAATAGTTACTGGATAATATCTTACTACAGTCCAACAGCTGAAGCTGTGGTAGATGTGATTTTTAAAGGTATGCCTTAATTTTAAGAAGTCAGAGATTTAAAACCACTACATGTTTTATTTTAAAATGTTCCTGCAGTTTAAACTCTTTCAAACAAAGACTTTGTAGCATAGATTGAATTTATTCTGTGGTTTCTGCAGCACTTTAGTCAGCTAATGTATCTACTGGTTAATAGACAGAAGATTGTGACCTGGCTACAATAGAAGCACCACATACTACTCTTTTTTTTTTTTTTTTTTTTAGGATTGTACTGTTTTTAATCAATTGCAACAAACTGCACAATTTATCTTGACTAACTGAAATAACCCTCGGAAGGCTTGTTGCAGAGACAGATAACTCGGCTAATTTATTCGCTAAAATCAGCTTGAAGGAACTGTCAAAAAGGAATAGTTTGCACAAAAAGTACTTTTACTCATATAATTATTCATCACTAATATAAAAAAATTCATGACTGCAGTAGGGAGCAGTTATAATGAAAGTTTTTAGCTATTATTTTAGTTTTATTGTTTATTAATGACTAAAAATGGCTGAATTAGAACTGAATTCTATTTTTCTGCGTAGCTTCTAAAGCTGATTATTCTTGGGAAATGATAAAATCTTGAGCTTCACAATGCAAAATGAACATGTTCAACAGCTCAAAGCACACATGGAGTGATGTCTGTGAGCATGCTGAGTTTTTTTTTAAATGCACTTACGTTTCATTCACGCTGTTTTGAAGCTTCTTAAACACCATAAGAGTCATTTTAAGCAAACAAAAGCCAAGTTGCCAGAAAGTTAAGAAACAAAAACGCAGGGGCAGAGCTCTAACAATCTTCATATGAAGGTTTAGGCATTTTTAAAACCTCCCATGTAAATACAAACAAATTAAAGTATAGGTCTTGGCTGCCACCTCCTTTTATGCATGAAAAATGTGACTGAGCCTGTTTAAAATTATTAATAATAATTAAAATATACTTTAAAAAATCAAATAAACTTGCCCAGGTTTAAGTTGCATGCCTAAACATTTTCTTCTATTTTGTACTCCAGCCCAGGAAAACTGAGAAACATATAAGCAATAAGGCAAAAAAAACAACAAAAAAAAACACTAGGTGCTGACCCAGGGTTTTCTTTCAAAGCACGCTGCACCAAGAGTTGTTAGCAGGTAGAAAAAAGAAAACTGTCTCAGTTGCTGTTTGATCTGACCTTCAGTAGATCCGAGCCTAAATCCGAAGAGATGGAAAATGTCAGAGAGTTTGTACGTGCGGGAGATGAAAGAGATGCAGAACGAGCTGAATGAAGAGCAGGACTCCTATAGAGGCCTGCAGAGAGTGACCCCGTCCACACTCTGACGTGTTTTCCTGCACAAAAAGGGAACAATAAATCCTCCTGTCCTCAGAAAAATTATAAAAACTTATCTTTCTGACTGCATTTGCATTATTATTATTTTTTTAATAATGTATCCAAGTCATTGATAATGGGTCACTTGAACACAAAAAACAATAGTTTTTAACTGTTAAATCCTAAATAGATTACGACTTATACCGAACATATTTTGCATTTTAGACAGTATATATTGTAGATGTGCTGTGGGTTTGTAGATGTGTTGTGGGTTTTTAACCGGTACAGGCAAAAGAGAGTACATTACACCAGTTTTGGCACTGGTTCACTTTCAAATTCAGTTCAAAATACAAATGCATGTGTTTAAATCTCTTAACAGTTCTGCCCCCTCTTATCTCACTGATCTGCTGCAGCCATATGTCCCACAGCGCTCTCTGAGGGCAGCAGATCAGATGCTTCTATTGGTGAACCACTTGAGCTCAGAGGTGACAGGGCATTCTCTGTTGCAGGTCCAAGACTGTGGAATGACTTACCACTGCATGTCAGGCAGGCCCCCTCCATCACAGTTTTTAAGTCTCGTTTAAAACCCCACTTCTATTCTCTGGCTTTTGACACTGTGTGATTTTGTTTTTAACCTCTCTCTATTCAACAATGTTAGTCATTTAGTTATCTTCTTCCATTTGGATTTACTGTATGTATTTTTTCCTGTGTGCTTTACTTGTTTGTTTCTGCTGTACATCACATGGGTTGGCCTTGCTGCTGTTTTCAATGCTTTATAAATAAAGTGGTATGGTATATTGTGCTGAGTGTCATTTTTTAAATACACATATAAGACATATCTTGTTACAAGAACTTTGCTAAAAATGTAAAACTGTCAGAGAATTACAAAAAAGCTTCACTTCAAATCACAAAGTAATTGCTATATGTTAGTCTTCAGTTGACAGGAAAGGAATAGAGGACAAGTGTATTTATTTAATGTAATGTAATAATTGTAATTCTGCTTCCTTGTTGTGCAGGGACTTACTAAGGCACTGTAGTCAAAGCAGGAAGTCGGGCCTTTACGGTATCGTGCGTTGCTCAGAACTTCACATGGATTTTCCTCCTGAACTGTTAAAGTCTGATTAAAGAAATGTTAACAGTGACCACATGTGACAGATGTTAATCCCACCCACAGCAGAAATGAAAACAGGTATGCGAGCGTGTGTGTGCGCACAAAATGGATACACTCCTTTTTGATCTGGGTCAGACTCTCAATCTCACAGGAGCTGCAGGGCAGCGTCTCGGCCACCACAAAGAGAAGGTTGGTGTTTTCTATCCGCTTTGCGTGGAACAACCTGGGGGAGACAGTGACGGATGATTAACCAGCCTTCCCATGGACAGCAAAGGCCTGAAAGTGCAAACATTATGTACACTCCAACATATTTTGCTGATGCTGAAGAAAAACAGAAAGTACCGTGAGCAGTTCCCGCAGTCCTGCAGCACGTTGTAGGAGTTTGTGGTGTTGGTGAAAAAGAACTGGCTGTGGATGGTCACACAGCTGCTCACTTTGGTCTCAAAGCCGTCAACGAGGACATCATCTGAAAAACAAAATTTTTAGGGATTGAGAACATGATTAAGTTAGCAAAAGTTTGATCAAACAGTTTATTGTGTCAACTATTATCAGTCCTTTAATTTAATGCATTCTTTTAAAGTGGGAATTGTTGGATTTTACACCTGGATTATTGAGCATGAACTTTGGTGTTTTGAACCACTTTGGCATGACTGTCTCAGAGGAGTTGATGGGGGAGAGGGCCGGCCCCAGAGGCCATCTTAACACCAGCAAACTGTTTTTTTCCCCACTTTGGAGCATGCTGTTTGTGGGAATCAGTTTTGTTTGGCGGCTTCTTGGATTGATGAAGTCCTTTGGATGAAGGACAAAATGTCTCAGTAAAAAAACAAAAAGAAAGAGATGAAACCATCCAGATGACCTGACTCAACATTGTTGGGTTTTATACCTGGATTATTGAGCATGAACTTTGGTCTTTAGTGGGGCTCTTTTTGAAAAGTTATGTATAAATAATAGCTTACCTGCTAGAAGTAGCTCTTTGAACAAAGACAAACTTTTTATTTAAACTGTATTGACAAGCTAACAGCTGAGCAGTCTGAGTGGGGCCATTTTACACCTGTTAATTATACAGTACGTGGTTATTTTGGCAGAAATATCATAATATTCTAGCTGAAAGTGCCACAGGAAGTGTTACAGCTGCTGCTGCTGTTTGTATTTGCATATAAAGTAGAACTCTATGTAGCTAACCGTGTAAAGCAAAATTGGTAGAAGGGTAAAGACTTGTTGGTCTAGTAGTTTGTCAGGGATCAGGTTTTTGGATTCAAAAGTTCAGCCAGACAACAAGAGCGTTTAAATAAATGTATTGTTTTGCAACCGCTGGTAGGAGTCTAGATCCAGTCACGGGAACGTCTTCTCAGGCAGGTGATGAGGGAGCCACATGTCGGAGCGAGATGAGATGACGTCACCGCAACAGGCGAGAGAGCAGCTGCAGAGTCGTGGTCCGAAAGATGAAACGGGGTCAAGCACGGAGAGTCAGAGGTCCAAAACTAATCCAGGGGTCAATTCGTAATCCAAAATCCGTAAGGCAGAAGGAGTTGTCATTACCAAGGGCAGAAGGGCAGAACAAAACCAGACAAGGAGCAGGCAGAGCGGTAAATCCAAAAGACGAGGTGTGAGGTCAAATCCACAAGGTGTGAGGTCGAGATGAGAACGTCAGGCTGGATATTTAATGCCATGAAGGGTTTGATAATCTGGCAGAGATTTGGTGCGGATGGGGCGCTTAAAGAGAGCGAGTGGCAGGTGTAGGGCATGAGCACTGATCAGCAGCGGGGAAGTGGGCGTGGCAGAGGAAGGTGATCATGACACAGTTAGCTCCTCGAAATTAAACTAAATTTCTCCAAACGGAAGTTGTTTAATAAGCTACAGCATATATAACAGGTAAAATTATAGCTTTAAATCTTTCCATAGAACCCCATTATCTGAACTATTACTTTATTCTATTTTTATTTTCTATTTTTTATTCTATTTATTCTATTAAAGTTTGATTATGTGTGGCTACACACAGTAACTGATTAACCTTGATAGAGCCAGCTGTTGTAGATGAGTCCATACAGCAGCTGATGGACCACAGACCTAAAGAAAAACGAACATCTGTTAATCATTGAACTTTGTTCTGGAAACATAACAATAACTCTGACAGAGATGGGTTCATGTGTGCAGATCGTGACAGAATAAAATCAGTTTTAAACAAGAAATCTCACCATGCGACTGTGGATGTCCACCAGGCCAAGCTCAAGATGTCAGCAACGGACGGCTGTAGAAACAAAGAATTTAAATTTAAAAAGAAAAAAGGAACTGTGCAGTTGTCTAACCATCCGCTAAACTCTGGCAGCGTGAGGTTGTTTCTCACCACATAGATGCCTCTCGGGGCCGCACCAGTTTGGCTGCTGCTGACTGCCTCACATTCGGATTTGTAGTGGAAGGACTGCCGGCGGGTGAAGATGGAGTTGTTGTAGAGAGCGTACATCAGGAAAGGGTCCACATCGCCAAAAAAGAGACCAATCTGACAGGATGGACAGTTACAGTGGGACCATCTGTTATTTTAATTTGGACAGTAGACACAAATGAACTGAATTTACAGAAGTGTGATTTTTGGTTTAATCTGACAGTTTGTTTTCCTTTAAACAACAGGATAAGGCATGAAGTCTGTTCTAAAATAAACTCTTAAAAAATTATTATGTGAATGTTTATGAAGAATACACACTATTATGATCAATTTGTCTTCCATACATTTGTTGACATCTTTCTTGTTTCACAATTTTTGTGCTATTTCAACAGTTCGTATATCAAAACATTCAGCTCTTTCAGGAGAAGGGTGCTTTGCTGCTTGGTATTGGTGCAACTTTAGCTTTTTGAAATATTTAGCCTTTTCTGCCAGTTTTTTTTCCTCATAGGAAGAGAACTGAGCTCATTTCACATCCTTCAAATGTTTAGATCTGTTTACAGCCTTTTACTGCTCCTTTCACATTTTGTTCCTGTTCAGATTCTTTCAGCTTCTTTGTGCAAATTCAAACTTTTTTCCAGCTGCTTTCAGCTAATTTTGGCTGTTTTTAAAATCTGTTTTGTGCTCCTTTCAGATTTTTTTCTGCTAACTACAACATTTCTATACTTCTTCTAACTTCTTTCTGCTAAATTCAGCTTGTTTTGCTCTGTTCTGTTTATTTCTGCAAGTATCAGCTTTTTCTATTTCATCTGTTTGTATGCAAATTTTAGCTCTTTTTATCATTATTTTTTTTAGCAAATTCCACCTTTGTTACACCCATTTCAACTTTTTTCAGCCAAATTAAGCAAACATGTGTTCTCTCCACTTCCTTCTTGTAATTGCAACTTTTTCCTACCTTTTACCTATTTCAGCTGTTTTTATGCTAATTTCAGCTTTTTTCAGGTAACTTCCACTTTTTTTTGCCTATTTCTGCTTCTGTCAGCCTAAATGCAATCATGTTCTTTCTGCTTTTTTATGCTAATTTAAGTTTGTTCTACCTTTTCAGCTAGATTTTTAGGATATTTTAGCTAATTTCAGGTGTTTTCAGATAAAGTTTCATGGTAATTTCTGCTACGTTCAGCTTAATTAAAATATATCTGCTAATTTGAACTTGCTATGCTCATTTCAGCTTATTTCTGCTAGTTTCAGTTATTTCAGCTCCCATTTAGCTGTTTTATGCTAATATGAGCTTTTCAGCTAATTCCACATTTTTTGTACTCATTTCAACTTGTGTGTTCTTTCTGCTTTCTCCTGCTTATGCTTGTTCTACATTTTTAGCTATGTTTCAGCATGTTTTTTAAGCTAATTTCAGCTGTTTCTCAGCAAGTTCTTCTGCAATAAGCATTCACACTGCATTTTCACAGGAAATTGAATTTCTCTAGTTAAGATTAGAATAAAAAGCAGACCTTTTTCCAGTGATCTCTCTGGTTGGACATAACCAGGAACCCACCATCATCAATGAGATAACAAAGGAGGTCCTACAGAAAATATGACACAGAAAGTTTCAAGGCTCACATGAGGATAAATGAGAATCCAAACAACTGTGGCAAGCCAAAAAATAATCTTCAACCAACTGTTTACAGTGTATTAACTCTTAAAATGCACTTTTTTCTTTCAACATTTAATCTCATCTGGTTCCACTCTCCACTTTAATAATCACTGATCAGTATGTCCTGAGTAATGTCCTTCACATGTGTCTCACCATTTTGAGACAGGATACGAGGACATGGTCAACAGTGCATTTTAAAGTTTGGAGAAAAAAATAGAGGTTGCTGTGTGTCAAGTTTGAGGAGACAACCCATGCAGATGATGAGAACAGGATTACTGAAGTTACGTCACATGCATTTTCTTAACCATCCTGCTGTCCTTGGGTCAAAATAACCCGCTTTAGTTGTAAGGCAGCAGAAGGGTTAAGTGTTGTTAACTGCAGTGTGAAACTGAATTTAAACACAAAAAATAAGCTTTGCTTTAATGTTGCAGTGTAACACAGCCTTAATCTAGGAATAGGATTGTTTCAGTTAAATATAGAAAAACTGAACTGTGAATTTGTAAATTATGTTGCAAAATTTCCCTTAATGTTCATCTGCCCAACAAAGCTAATTTCATTGCTTTTATTCAAATACGTTAATTTCCACTTGAAATAAATTGCTGTAGTCAAAACGTAGTGATTCTGTCAAATTGCTTGACTAATCTGCAACAATCTGGGGTGAGAAAAACCAAATGAAGATAATTTCTTACATCCGTGTTTACTTCACAGTCCATCTCACAGCTCCTGGATGGTCCACACTGTTGCATCAAAGAGGGTTTGGTTTGTTGTTAATTGGTTTTAAAAGTGTGATTAATGTCTAAAACCCCCAATGATGCTGCGCTTTACCCTGTGTGAACCCTGACGACTGTCGGACACGTTGCTGGCCAGGATCTTAAACTTGTCCACCCACGCTTCCAGGTCCAGCTTCACTCCAACCACTGTGGGAAAAGATAAAGAGAGAAGAGAAAGGTTAATATAAATAAAAGATAATTAAAATATATTAAAAAGATTTTTAAGCTAAAACAAATTCTAATATATTCCCAGAGTCAGTTTGAAAATGTTTCTTACCTGCAGGTTTGAGCAGTTTCCCTCCTAAATTAACCTCAACAGCTGAACTAACAAGGATTCCAACGGTGTCGTTTTCCGCTGCGTCAAGGTCATCAAAAGCTGTTTGGGATTTAAAAAAAGGGAACATCTTTATCCTAACACGCAGGTTCCTCTAAATACCCTCACCCCAGCATAAATAAACAAAACACTGAAAAATGTCTGTACTGTCCATAACATGATTTTTCTTACAGGAGCGAGTTAAAAAAGGATTGGTGTCAGTTCCATTTCTTTCAATTTATTTAAAAATATAGGCAAAAGGAGCTTGGCTTCATAAACATTAAAACAGGAAAAACTGATGTGTCAAGTTGTGGCTGATCTATTGGAGCATTTGGTCAAAGATAAGCAAAACTTCAGACAATAATTATGTAGTTAAAAAGTTTTAAAAAGGAAGAGCAGCAATGACATCTTGACAACAAAATGTTATTTTAGCACTGAGGTAGCTTAATTTAGCACCCCGTGGTTGTCAAAGGGCCCTGAAAGGTTATGGGTGTTTTCAAAAGGTCCTTAGAGGTCAAGGTAAAGACAAAGCTCTGCTTCCTGAGTTTGGTTTTAAAACATTCCTAAAATATGAGTTCATTTCTTGTTTGTTAGCTTTGCTAGCATTTTGTAGCAAAGCTAGGATGTGGTATAAAGATGCTCTTGGCTAGAATTTTTTATGGTATAGCATAGCTGTGATTGAAGTTATTGTTGTAGCATCTTAGCTTCCAGATGCCTTCAGCTACATAATTAAAACTATTTATTGGATTCTGAAGTTTCATGTAAGAACACACTTTCTACTTTGACACAATTTGCTCCTTGAGGTTTAGATATAAATTTGCTAAAAGCAGTATTGGTGCCTTCAAAGCTGCTTAGACTCGATATGTTTAGCTAAACTTTATTGGAACAATCAGTAAGATCATTTGCTTCACCCGAGTGAATTTGTTCCGTTACTTACAGGATTTCAATGGTGGTCTGAACATGTAGCCTTTATTGTCGAGACTTCGCCTGTAAAAATTTGAATTAAAAGGTTCGGGATCCTCCTCCCACAACTCAGCAGCTCTGTTCAAACAGAAAACACACGTCATCAAGGAGAACGTCTTCCTGCAGCGCTAAATCTATAAAATGTTCTGATCTCACTCACATGTTGGGAAAAACTCGTGTAACTCCTCCATCTGTGGATGCAAATACAGCTAGGAAGCCATACCTGTAATTTTTTAAAAGTCAACTTTACTTTTTATTTTAACCATTAAGATGTGGTTCATTTATGTTGTGTGCGTGTGCATTCATGCATTTTTGTTTCAGGTTACACTGTGCGGACCAATTTTGCAAAAAAAAAAAAAATCCTACATTGTGGGGACCAACTGCTCCTTGTGGGGACCAAAACCTGGTCCCCAAGTCTCGTTGGGGGGTTAGGTTTAGGACTAAGGTGTGAATTGCTGATGGGTTAGGGTTAGGTATGTGCTAGTAATGGTTTAGGGTAAGGGTCAGGGTTAGGCTATAGAAATGAATGGAAGTTGATGCAAAGTCCCCACAAGTCACAAGCATGCGTGCATACGTGCGTGCATACATGCGTGCATGCATGTGAGATGTCATTCTATGACAAGCTTACTCACGCATTCAGATCCTTGTTCTTCCATACACGAGATGCAAGCTGCCCGATAATCCGGGAATCCAGGATCAGGTTGTGGATGAGGCCTTGGTCACCTGAAAAAAAAAAGCAACTTACTACCCCACCCGTTTGGGTCTGCGATGAGTAACTGAGTGATTTACTGTATTCTGTACTCACACTCATCAGACTCTGGGGCGATGTGCAGCATGAGTGAGAGAAAGTTCTGCAGAAACTGTGTGTTGTTGTCAGAAAGCTGCAGGTTCTTGCAGTACTCCCTGCAGGGATAAAAGTATTAATCCAAAAATGCTATGCTATGTTTTTATGGAGCGTCATTTCATTCAAAATTAAATAAATAGTGTTATTTAAAAATATTAATAAATATTCCATTAAATAAATACACGTTCCCATGAAATAAATCATTTAGATAGAAATGTTTAGTTTTTCCCAAGATTTATTTTTATTTATTTCAAGATTTATTTTTATTTATTTCAAGATTTATGTATTTAATGGAATATTTATTAATAATTTTTAAATAACAGTATTTATTTATTTATTTAATTTTGAATGAGATGGCTCTCCATATGTTTTAAGTTTTAAACAAATTAAAAAAAGATGATGACGATTACCTTGGAGCCAGAAACACATGTCCTGATGATTCAAAGGAGCTGGGCAACAACGACTGCATATCTGCAGCACAGAAACAGATGCACCTTTTACTTCTTGTTTCTGGTGGTTACCGTCATGAAGCCGAACACAGAGCCTCTCTGTACTCACACTGGAGCTGCAGCATCACATCACTCAGGTCTGCCTGGATGTAGTACTCGTTGTAGGGCGGCAACACCAGACCGAGGCTGCAACGTGTCAAATATTAAAGTGCATTGGTGAAAAAACACAAAATTTCTTCCCTTCATGTCTTTTTCAGTGATTTCCACAACTCACCTGTAGTCCGTCCCGTTGATAGGAGTCCAGGTGTAGCCTCTGTATACGTCATCAATGTATTGCTGCAATTGTATGTTCAAACATGACTGAAGTAGTTTGAAATTAAATATCTGAGTATTTGTTAAATATATCTGGTACTGACAATACTTTTCCAGACTTAAAGCTGCAGTTTTCCCACTGATCCTATAAGATGCGAGTTCTCTCGCTCTCAAATGTTGGCAATAAATACACGCACACAATCAGCACACATACTGTATATGATCGTTAGGATTCAAGTAATTCTAATCTGTACTCGGAGTGTTAATGTAGTAATCTCACACCACCACACAAAAAAAGCTTCTTATCAGAACATTGAAACACTAAAATCTGCAATAAATTCAATGAATACAACTCATTTCAGGAGTGAAAGTGGAAGAAAAGTGATATTAAAAAAAATATCTTGATCATTTTGGGTGCAAATGTTCATATTTTGTTTTTTGATAATGTTTTAATAGTGTGAGCAGTTTGATTTTAAGCTTTATAAAAATCGCAAGACTGTTTGGCTGTTTACTTATTTTCTGTCCAGAACCTGATAATTTTTATTAGATTATTTTTTTTGTTATTATTAAGTCGCACAAAAAAAGCTCCTAAACTCAAGGAACGATGTTGTGTTGATATAACACTCAACAAACAAAAACACAAATTAATAGGATTTGTAGACATTTTGTTAACAGCAATCAGTCACAACGATACAATTTTTCCCATTGCATTAATTTTATAAAAAATACCAATAACACAATTTGACACATAAGCTCCAAGAATTCTCAAAATGTTTGTGTAGTTTAAAACTTGACACACAAAGATGATCAACAGAAGAACGATGCATTTCTCAGGTTCGATGTTCGTTCGGTTTCTAAAAGACACAAATTTAGGATACTGTTCATAGTTTGTCTGACACTTTTCTCACCTTTTAATTCCTTTATTTGTCGTGGACAGCAAGTAACGAGTAGAAAAGGCTAAATGAAAAGCTTGGACACACCTTCAGAAGGTCTGAAGAAAGTTTGATCAAGACCACTTTAAAGATTAGAAGAAAGTCTGTCTGCTTGGAAAAACAAGTCTAGAGAACCTAATGGTGTTTTAAATCATTTGCACATGTTATATTATATGTTACCATACTCTTTGGTAGTCATTTTGAAGAAAAAGACCAAAAACATTCACCTACCTCATCAATAGACTTGATAAGAGTTTTGATCTGTGTTTCACCTGGTCTTCCATCAATCATTTGTCGTCGAATCTAAGAATAAAAACACAAATCAGTTCTTATCAACCAAACATGTCAAAACAGACACTTGGGACTGACATCGTGCAGCAGATTAAAAATAAGAGGCTTTTTAAAAAATTCCATTTGGTGCTCACCTCCTCTTTGTTCTCATCTTCTACCTCCGCATCCAGAAAGTCCAGCGTCACCGGTTCAGGAAGGTTGACAAGCTGAGAGGAGCCGAGCGAGGGAAAATATGATTAAAAAGAAAAAATAGTCAAACACTTAACAGAATATTTTTAGGTAAATTAATCACCTTTGGCTGAAGGTTGGGATGAAGGAGCAGATATCCATTTGGATCAATTGCAAATATATAGCCATTTGCCCCGAGCTGTTCCAGATACAAAAGGAGAGGATTGCTATAAATCATATTGGTCTGCTCGGTCTGACATATCAACAACACAAATAAAGAATAACAAGACTTCTGTGTGCAGACATTATAACGTGGCGTCAGTCGTTTTATCTCATCGAGGTGCACGTCCACTCCCATGACGCCTAAAATCAGCTGATTCTGTGAAAACAACAAAGAAAAGTGTCATAAATGTATCCAACAAAGTTCAGTCAGGTCATCTGGATGGTTTCTTTTTGCTGTTGTTGTTGAGACGTTTCGTCCTTCATCCAAAGGACTTCATCAGTCCAAGGAGCCACGACAAACTGAGTCCCACAAGCAGCACACTCACATAGAGGGCCAACCAGTTTGATGGTGATGATTGTTTCTGGGGCCCACCCTCTCCACCGTCAACTCCTCTAAGACAGCCATAACCAAAGTGGTTCAAAACATCAAAGTTCATGCTCAATAATCCAGGTAAAAAAATCCAACAAAGTTCAGTCAGGTCATCTGGAAGTTTTTTTTTTTTTTTTGTTATTGTTGAGACGTTTCATCCTTCATCCACAGGACTTCATCAATTCACCAGACACTATCTTATCACCAGCAAACTGGTTGGATCAGTATGTGGGTGTGCTGATTGTGGGAATCAGATTGTTGTGGTTCCTCGGACTGATGAAGCCCTTTGGATGAAGGACGGAACATCTCAACAAAAAAAAGTAAGGAAAAAAGAAAGAGACCGCCCAGATGACCTGACTGAACTTTGTTGGATTTTTTTACATGGATTGTCGAGCATGAACTTTGACATCATAAATGTAACTCAAAAGAACTGCCATGTTAGAAATAAATTAATTTCACATTTAAACTGAAAAAAAAAAAACCTACCTGTGAATTTCCGTTCATGGTGAGATTGAAAACAGGAAGAGTTCCAGTCACGACCAGACCGAGACCCTGCGAAGAAAAAGTTGTTTAGTAGATTTCAAAAATGCTATTTTTTTATAGACTGTTCCTACATCCAGAGTCTCACCAAAGCATCTTGATACACGTTAGTCCACTGAACCTGTTTGGCCTCAGTGCCTGCCAGAACCATGGGGCGTCCCAGCACGTCCAGGTACTCCTGATCGAACACAGAAACACTGAACGTGACCGTCGGCAGCTTAAAAACTACCATCGTCATCATCAGAATGCAGGCTGGGCGTGCCAACAGACGAGAGCGTATGTTTTTCCAGAGAGGGAATGAGAGCAGCAAGAACTAAAAACTGTGAGAAGGGCTCAGCTGCGTCAGAGGAACCAGACAAACCCACCTGGGTGTTAATCCTTATAGCACAGATGGAACGGATCTCAAAATAGTAACCTGGCGAGGGATGCAGAAAAAAACAAAAAGGACAAACAGAGGAAAGAAAAAGAGTGCATGAGTGAAATTAGAGAACATACACAAGGGGCGCTCATTAATATTCCAGATTTGAGTAAAGATGTTACAGAAACAGTGATTCAGACACTTAAAGCTCACAGACAACAAGACCGAATAGGATTATTATGGAGCTTTAAATGTCAGCTTCTGCATGTGTTCAGCTGTTGAATCAAATATTTTTTTTATCTGCATCATACAATCAAATAAATTTCATATACGTATATTGGTCATTTTTAAAGATTCTGGTAATTTTGTTATTTAAAGGGGGAAAAATATGATTTTCACTATAAAAAAGCCAGGAAATGAATTAGTGAGAGGAACACTCTGCTGGCTGCAAACGACAACCATTTATTTAGAATATTTTGCTTTTTCTCTTCCTTAATTTTAAAACAAATCAAGATAAATTTCCATCCCACTATGTGAAGCTGGAGTGTTTGATCTATTATCTAATTGTAAATGATGCAGTTTGTTACAGCAGAGCTGAAACAGCCTCCCACTGATCCATTTTATTAGCAACAGTTTTAGTCATAAAAAAAAAAAAAAAAAAAAGATTACGAATCGATTACGTTTGTTCCATTTATTACAAGAAGTTATTTACATAACCAAAACTGGGGGAGGGGAATCAAGGAGAGTTTAAAGATGTTTAAAGATGACACATCACACCAAGTTTTCAGCTAATAACTCTTTGAGATTCACCTTGTAATGAATACTTTTCATGACCAAGAAACTGTCATTTAGGCATTTATAATAATGTTATAATAAATTGAAACAAATTAGTTGTGCTTTTACTGGATAAGTTGGTAAGTTATTCATCAAACTACAACAAAAAATCAGAATCAGCTTTATTGTCATTGCACTGAAGCACATCAAAATTTAATTTCTGTACATCTGAGCCCATCCAAGTAAAACACAAACAGACATGGGGAGACGGCGGTGTCTGAGGCTGCAGCCTCGTGGGAGGCGCTGCCCTTAAAATGTTTTTGCTGTGTTCATTTATCCATTGACATTGAGATTTGTTGCTTTTTTACACTTTTGTTATGTTAGTTTTGAGAGACCTAACACCCCCCCCCACACACACACACACACACACACACACACCATTTAATTAAAAATCAGGTCTAAAAAGTGGGGGAAAACGTGGGAAAATAGTAATATACAAAATAAGAACATTTAAACCTTCTGAAAGTCTAGAAATGTGTCTTAAAATCTCATCAAAAGATTAAAAATATCCTGCTCTTTTTAAGCAAAATACAACGGAGTATAGGATGACTCAAAACTTTTGCACCTTACAAATACCTCCTAATTTAGTGACCCTCAGTATTTTTTTGGTACAAAATGAGTACGGGTTTGAACTATTGAAGTTGTCAGTTTTGAGTTTTTCTTTTATAAAAAAGAGCAAAATGTCATTTGAAGTGCAGCTCACCTTTATTTGTGCAGGCAATCCACTGTAAAGGTGTGACATCATAGTTATGTTGACCCACAGAAAAGGTAAATACTCGAACCTTGGTAGAAAGCGAAGATAAATATAACTTAGATATTGCAACACATCCTGTTTTGGTGTTGAATAATGACACAAATCATAAAACTGACTGTCTTATTTGGCCAGTTGTATTGCATGAAGACATCCTGCGCTCTGTCCTCTCCTCCATCAGTAAACAGCATGATTATTTTATTGCAGTTAGCCCGCGGGACATTTGTCTTCTGAAAAACACAGTATCATACGTGTGTGGAAGGTCACTGCAGTAAAACTGAGCCTAAATGTTTCTGATTTGAACCCCAGTTAAAATAAATCAAGTCACTTACATTTAACAGCTGGTTAAAAGCAAAATGAAACCCAGACTTGTAGTCCGTGGTGCCTTTAGCCTGCATCTGCTGCACAGCCTCCTTAAAAATCTTTTTGTTTCGCACATTAGCCTGAACAAGATGTTTGAAGCAAGGAACCACAGCCTCGGCTTTTTCATTAAACTGAAACACAGAAGGAAATGAACCCATGAGATCACATGGGAGGACAGCTGAAGAGCCAGACACCAGGGGAGAACGCAGACACCGACCCTGGCTACATTGATGTAGTCATCATCAGATAATGTGTCCAGCATTTCCATCACAGACGCTTTGATCAGTTTAAGGGTGAGTCCACTGACGCTGCCGCTCCTGAGGGAACATAAAAAGAATAAAAATCCAAGCAAAATCAGTGGAATTTAAAATCCATTTTACAAAGACAAACACTGGTTAATAAACTTGAACTGATGCTCAAATCTGTTGAGTTTAGCTACAGTTTGTTTTTTTAACATCACTTACAGTAAAAACAGTGCTGTTTTTTTCTGTATTTGCATAGTTATGATACTTTAAAGCATGGGTGAGTATGTGACCACTAAATGAGCACATCAGGAGAAAACGTGTTTTGTGTAATGACTAGTTTGACTGGTTTTAACGACTGATGCTCACGGGAACTATACTTTTATTTCTTGTTTTTCAGACAAATGAAAACATGTATATTCACTTACTAAGGAGCCAGATGAGATCATAATTAAAGGTCTAGCATTTCTTGAAGGAAGCATATCACCTGCCACCTTCTATGCCAAAGTTTTCAACTAAGATCATCTTATGTTGAAAAATGATTGCCTCGCGTTGTGGCTGTTTTGGTCAAATCTTAAAAATAATGTTACATATTACCTGCGCCTGATCTTGCACAATCTGCTAGAGCTTAGATTGTGTGTTGTGGTTTACCCAGAACTACAAACACTAAAAAATTTTATCTCAGTATATGTGAAAGTAGCTGATTTATAAACATTTTTGTGTTTGCCAAGGTCATTTGGCTGTGTTGGCCGTTTTAAATTGGATTGATTAAAAATTTTAATCAGCTATAGATGAATAGCCAATGATTACTGTCTGAGTGTTTCATTAAACTCTGTCTACAGTAGTCCCTCGTTTATCGGGGGGATCCGTACCCTGAAGCCCCGTGATAAGTGAAAAAACGTGAAGTAGGAATAGTAGTACAAGTAGTAGTAGTTTATGTAATATATATATATATATATATATATATATGAAGGCATTTTAAACCCTTCCCAAATTCTTGCAATATTCTAAACAACGTTTCTAAACTTTAAACGCTCTAAATGAGCGCAGGATGTCATGATCTCAGCTCTCTGCCTCCGGCTGCTCTCTGCCATCTGCCAGCGCTCTTGGCCACGCCCACTTCTCTGCTGCAGAGCGGAGATATGAGATATTTGGGGGAGTGGTGGTGCAGAGGTTAGAAGATGGGCTTGTGATCGGAAAGTCGCAGGTTCACCTCCCAGTACCGTCAACATCAAAATGTGGGTGGAAAAGGAGAAACACCCACGCCTCCCTCCACCCTCATTCGCCCCACTCTGGGCCCCTGAGTAAGGCCCTTAACCCCCACTATGTGCTCCCTAAACAGGTCTCTCTTGAAAATGAGTTCTCGTGGCTCAATGAGACTACCTGGATAAATAAATGGTAAATGAAAAAAAAGATATGCTGCAGGAGGAAGCTTCTCTTGCAAGCTGTGGGCTGCACACACGTGGAGCAGGTGCTAAATATTTTTAAAATGATTTATTTTAAATAAAAATTCAATGCCGATCATGCTGCTCATCCATCAATCAGCCAATTGTGTGTCATGTCCAATATTATTTTGAAAAACCACAATAGAGCAAGTCCGCGAAAAACTAACCGCGAAGTAGCGATGGACTACTGTACTGATTCATAGGACCTTGTAACTAATCCCAATGTTATCAAGTACTTACACATCAACCAGGATGACCATGTCTTTGGGGGACGATGCACCCTGGATGTACCTGTAATAGAAAGAGAAAAAAAAAACTTCTGTCTTCTGAATCTGCTTCAACATTTAACACGTCCACATGTTCCATGTGTCACGCCGTACCAGGGTCTCCTCCTGACATCATACAGGTCAATTTTGTCAGGTGCTTTCCAAGGTGTGGCTGCAGAAAATCAGAAAGCTTAGAATTTCAAAACTAATATTGTTTAACTCCCAAAAAGTAACATCTAAATTCAATTGTCATATTTTTCAGTGAACACAGCTGTAAAAACCTCACCTGGATAGTAACGAGTGACTCCTGTCGCACTCCCAAACGCCTGCCACAGCAGGGACGGATCCTCCCGACTGTTCTCCATGAACACTCTCTCCAGGGCCTGAGTCCAGTTCAGCTCGTTCAGAATGACTGTGGCTAAAAAAAGATAACTTTAATGTAAATGATGCCCAAACACAAGGGAAACATTTACATTCTTCTTTAGACTTCAGCGCTTTTTGAAGAGAGGGTGGAGGGTGATCCTGTTTCCTAGTGAGACTGTTACTTACAAAGGTGAATAAATGAATGAATGAATAAATCCAAATACATACAGTAGTTAATTAAAAGCTAATAAAAAATACAAAAAGCGTTCAATACAAAAACAACTGGACTTTATTTGTAACAGAAGACGTTTCGCTCCTCATCCGAGGAGCTTTCTCAATTCAAAGAGCAGAGAGTGAGAGATACAGGTTATAAGGCTGAGTGAGATAAGACACACACACACACATATGTAGATTGGCAGTTAACACCTAAAAACCTAAAACAGTAGGTCTTTGTTCCTCTAATTCACAGACGAGGCCCCCTCTGTTCCCATCAGGTGTGAAAACCGGCTGGGGATCTGTTTTAAAGTTGCATTATATGTTTTTGAAAGTGGAAATCTGAGGCCTCCTCCTCTGTTAAGAGACGGTTTTTCTCTTTTTACATAAATTGCTTCCTTCACCCCCCTCTCAAACACAGATAGACAAACACAGAACACAGATGGTTTGAGAGGGGGGTGAAGGAAGCAATTTATGTAAAAAGAGAAAAGCCGTCTCTTAACAGAGGAGGAGGCCTCAGATTTCCACTTTCAAAAACATATAATGCAACTTTAAAACAGATCCCCAGCCGGTTTTCACACCTGATGGGAACAGAGGGGCCTCGACTGTGAATTAGAGGAACAAAGACCTACTGTTTTAGGTTTTTAGGTGTGAACTGCCAATCTACATATGTGTGTGTGTGTGTGTGTGTCTTATGTGTGTGTGTGTGTCTTATTTCACTCAGCCTTATAACCTGTATCTCTCACTCTCTGCTCTTTGAATTGAGAAAGCTCCTCGGATGAGGAGCGAAACGTCTTCTGTTACAAATAAAGTCCAGTTGTTTTTGTATTGAACGCTTTTTGAATTCATCATGTCCTGGATGACTGAGAATATTCACCAGCCTAATAAAAAATAGAGTAAAAAAAGTTTTTTTTAAATACTAAACAAGACTTTAATGATATCTTCTTTCTTCTTCTTTCAGCTGTTCCTATTTCAAGGGTCTCCAAAGCGAGTCATCCTCCTCCACCTTACTCTGTCCTCTGCATCTTCTGTCCTCACTCCAACTACCTCCATGTCCTCTCCAACTGCATCCATATATCTCCTCTTTGTCTTTTTCATGGCAGCTGCATTTCTAACATCCTTCTACCAGTATACCCACTGTCCCTCCTCTGGACATGTCCAAACCATCTCAGTCTGGCCTCTCTAACTTTATCTCCCAGTTGTTCAAACTGTGCTGAACCTCTGATGATCTCATTCCTGATCTTATCCATCCTCGTCACTCCTAAGGAGAACCTCAACATCTTCATGTCTGCCACTTCGAGTTTTTTCTCCTGTCTTCTTGTCAGTGCCACTGTCTCCAGTCCATACAACATAACTGGTCTCACATGTCTTGTAAACTTTTCCTTTGACCTTTGCTGACACTTGTCAAAAATCACTCCTGAAACTTTTCTCCATCCTGCCCGGACTCTCTTTTTTTGCCTCTTTACCACGTTCCCATTTTCCTAGACAGTGGACTCCAAGTATTTGAAGTCCTGCACCTTTGTGAGCTTTGTTCCTTGTAGCCTCACTGTTCCAACAACCTCCCCCTCATTCACACACGTGTAATCTGTCTTACTATGGCTGACTTCCTTTCAAGTGCATACCTCCACCTCTTCAAGTTCTCTTCCACCTATTCCCTGTTCTCACCACAGATCACAGTATCATCTGCAAACATCATAGTCCACAAGGATCCCTGCCTGACCTCATCTATTGTTCAGTCCATCACCAGAGCAAACAAGAAGGGCTCAGAGCCGATCCTTGATGCACTCCCACCTCCACATTGAAGCTATCTGTCACTCCTACAGCACATCTCACCACTGTCCTGTTGTCCTTATACCATGTCCTGAACCAGTCTAACATAATTTTCTTCCACTCCAGATTTCCTCATGCAATACCACACCTCCTTCCTCGGCACCCTGTCTATATGCTTTTTCTAAATCTGTAAAAACACAATGAAGTTCTTTCTGACACTCTGTATTTCTCCATCAGCATCCTCAAAGCAAAGATGGCATCTATGGTGCTCATTCTCGGCATGAAGCCCATACATACTGCTGCTCACAAAGTCACATGACCACATAAAACTAGTATGGAATGTTGCATACTAGTATGGATGGGATGTTTTAAAACCAATTTCAAGTTCAAGTTAAGGAATATTATATAAAACTTTCTCAGAGAAGGAAGTCTGACAAAATTTCAGCATGACGTAGCTCGGAACATGTTCATTTACGAAAAGCGGTTGGTCAAAAAACTGAGAAAACAGCAATATACTAAGATCACCTAACCTCATTGAATAAAATAATAAGAATTATAAAAATAATACATTAAGAGCACATTTTTCTCGACTGTCTAAAAATGGCATAATAGTAACATGACTTGCCTCCTTTATAGATATCTGTTGGAATCTGAACAGCTGTGTGGGAAAAGTTGACACTATTTTTGAAGTTTGGGTCATACACAAACTCCAGCTTGAGCTGGGAGGGGTTTTCCATCTCGACTTCTCCATCGATGGAATTCTGTCAAAACAACAGTATAAAAATAATATGCATTTCTACTAAGTAATTTCCTTTAGAAAGATTGGAATACATTACACATATTGAAATTATGGCATTGGGAGAAGAGTTGAATTCTCACTCACATAATCCAGCTCTGCCTTGGAGTCATAGTAGGCCATGTCCAACTCCTGAAGGAAAAAAGATGGAGACACAAGGAGATAGAATTGGGAAATATTCTGAGGACATGCAGACGTCAAATTAGTCCCTGGACTCACAGGAAGAGGTAGGATATCTTTATACATTGTTCATTAATGAAGGTGATCATCTTAAACATGCAATATTTTATTACAAAGTAAAAACAAGATAATAAAGTGGGAGCTGAGAAAGCTGCAGGAAAAATGTATTTAATTAAAGTAGCATTCCTTGAAGGATTGCATATTACCCTCTGTCTTAGTGTTAAAATTTTAAACACAGATCCTGTGCCATCTATGGGATGACTCTCAGCTACGACCACACCTAATGTAATCTCAATTTCTGTTAAAAGACTGAGTTGTAGCCATTTTAATGTTGGCTAATGTCAATTAGCTGTGACAAACAATTTAGTTCTCTTTCTTTTCAGGCATTATATTGGATGGTTGTCATGTGAGGACACTGATGAAGAAAAGACTTTATGAAATGGGAAGTGAGACAAAATCTGTTGTGGTGTTCCAAACAACAAGCCACGAGCTTTCAAAAAATATATGACTAACAACTGTTTATTAATTACAAAACCACCTTAACTATTGAGATTTGATTTTATTTGTTGATATAGTTTCCATTCAAACGTGTGAAAAACTAATACTCTAGTCTGCATCAGAAAATGATTTCCATCACAGCTCTGTGGCTCATTTTCTCATGAAAAGCAGACCATGATTAATATTAACAGTCATACATAAACCATAATCTAATAGTTTTTCTAATCTACTCTTTTAAATGTCAACAAACACTGAAAGTTGTCAGAACCCAAAACAAGGATTTTAATCTGTAATTTATCGCAATAACAGACAAAATCTACAAAACAAAACAAGAATAAATGACAGGGTTTGAATTGCAGCGAGGGGAAAATTAGCATAACTTTTGTAGTTGCAAAGCTGTAACTACCAACTGTCTCTTATTGTTCAGCTGTGATTTTTGCTCAGTTATGATTCAGCAAACAGGCTGTAAAACTTGTGTGGAGCATCGCCATCTGTTAGGCTTTAGTTTCTGAAGAGGCCGAACAAACTCCAGCAGGATGTGTGACATCTACTCAGAGTTGTTCCTATTTCTGGATTTTTCTTATTACTGAATATCTACAGTCAACACCTCAGCCAGTTTTACCGTTTACCAAAACACAAACAGGCATTGATGGCTACTTGCATTTAATTTGATGACTATGACAATTGAAGCAATGATTGATTTTATGGGATAATTCTTTTCATCATAGTACAATGCCTAAATTTAATCTTGAAAGCAAAATTAACTTATAACAAGAGGTGTAAGTTTTATTGTTTTTGTGTATTTTATTTCATTATCTATAATGTGTTTTGCAAAAAAAAATGAGTTTGTTATGTTATATGAGATACAATTTGTTAAATTTTTGGGCAATATGTTTTTGTTAATGCTTGGTTCACAGTTCTCAGTTTCAATACATCATCATATAAATATCAAAAAGACCTAAATCTTTTGTTTTGGACACTGCAGGCGACAAAACATAATCCGAAATGGAGTTGGAATTGACCCAAACTGACTCCAGTAGATACTACTAATGTATGTATGTTAAAGGCAAAAAATATAAACAAGTTTTTTAGTCTTACCTTGATTCCATCCTGCCATAGATGTTCTCTCTGGAGCCTTTCTGCTTCACTGGCTAACCTCTGCCGGTTGTAAACACACAGTCACATTACAGCCGCAAAAACAACGACATGTCTGAGAGTTTGAGACAGAAGTAAAGTGAAAAGTGGATGTTTGCAATGCATCTTAACCGGTTTGTGTGTTTTATTAAATATATTTTATAAATCTTCATACAGTTATGACGTGATAAAATTCAGCAGAAAAATACAATTTAATTAAAATAAGCAATGCAATACTATAGTTAAATACTGGATGGATGGATGGATGGATGGATGGATGGATGGATGGATGGATGG